CTACTGTATTTTAAAATACTAAACAAAAAATGGTGTACAGCAAAAAAATTGAAGCTTTTTCTTAAATTCCAATACCAAATTGATCAGCATGCAGACATAGGCATAATCCAGACATTAAAAAAATAAGTGGTTTCATAGAATAACTTTACACAAGACTGTACAAAGCCATATATTAAAATAGTTGTTCCTGTATATATTGAGCCACATTTTCATACTGTACTATCAACTTCGCACATTACATATTTCAAAATTAATCCTCACAATTTGTTTTCTAAAGTGAAACAGGTACAGTAATACTGGTACAGTATTTATTTATTTATTATAAATATAATACCATTTAATAATATTAAAGATATATTGCAAGTGAAACAGGTACAGTAATACTGGTACAGTATTTATTTATTTATTATAAATTTGGCATGCAATATAAACCAGATGCGTAAAAAACAAAAACTAGATAAATCATTTTAATTTAATTGTTTGGAAATATTTTGGATTCAATCACTTGCTGCAGAGCTCTGAGCATCGCCACCTTCTGCTAACCATGGATTGGACATGTATGGATTGGGCATGTCCATTTCATCATGTCCACACAGATGGAATTGTTTGCATCACATCCATCTGATCCAGTCATTTGCTCCTATTGAGGAATAAATACAGTAGTTACAATAATGCAAAACCAGGTTTGTTAAAAATCAAAAATGTTATAAAACATTGGCATTTGCTGGTTTATCAATAACATACCATACTGAGATACTGTATGTACTAATCTGAAAAGACATTCATCAATTGACAGTATTTTCAGATTTTTTAATTACTTGATTGAAGCCTTCCTGTCGGTTAGTGTGTAATGTATTATTGTTGTTTCTTAATAAAAGTGACACACCATGCTGATATTTTTTTACCATTCCAATATATTTGTTTCATGTACTCTGGCTGAACAGTGATGAGATATTCACTTAATTTTCTTTTGCTCACCTTAAATTGTGTGTATACCTTTCATTACAAGTTTCAGCAAACAACCAGAGTGTTTCTTGCTAACGTCTTGCTGGGTGCTTGTATGCTTTGTACCACCTTCTTTCGTAGATGCCAATGTTGGGTGGTTGTACTCATGGCAAATGTTGTGGTATGTTTGGCTCATATCATGGCGACTGGCAAATATCTATGTCAGGAGAGTGTCATGTTTCGGCCTATCACATATCTTGTCCTACAAAAATATATATGTATAATATTTTATTTGAATTCCACATTTCAACAACAGCTGAAAGTTAGGTTTGGAGTAACATGCATCATGTTATTATTTAATGGGCGTTATTGTTGTATAGCCTAGCTTCCAGGCCTACAGTATATCAATAATAATCTTATTGTTACAGGAATTGTTGTTGGCTCTGATGATATACTGTAGTGTTATAGCACATCACCTTTATTTAGACAGTGCATTTTTTAGACATAGGCCTAGACAGTTTTTCATAGGACCAGGCCTATAGGCTATAGTATACTATTATTAGTAGGCCTAGGGGCCTAGGTCTATTATTATGAAGAAAAAAAATGCACTAGCACAATTAATGTGACAAAGATGGCATGGCATGACAAGTCTAGGCTAGGCTAGTAGTAGAAACCTACTATCTTTACCGTCAGCTGGATAAGGCTGCGTGCGAACTCACCTGCTGCGGGACTGGAGCAGTGTCCCGGACAGGAGTGCGCTACTGCTGTTGGGTAGACACTGACTGTGCTAATCCTAGGCATAGGCCTAATTATAAACAAACAAGTCAAGTCATCGGACTGATATACGTTTATTAATTCAATTGAATTATTCCTCCATGATTGAATTCACGTTGACTAAACCGTCTCTCTGTAACTGCGTACGTAAACGATCACAAAAACTCACGACTTCACACTGGTGTACTGTATCTAGGCTAGTCGCTCGATCGTCGGGACGATTTTTCGATCAGCTGCTCGCCAAAAATTAATTGACAGACTTGTCTTGAATATTAATGAGTTGGTTAGAAAATGCTACCAAGCTACTGAAAAAAGTGATCAGCCTCGTTTTTACCTGATTTTCCTGTCTCATCATATCATGTTTTGTTTCTGTAATTATCCGTACATCTCAACATTTTGAATTTTTTAAGTATTTTTCCCGAACTCAGGAAAGGTTAAATAAGCAATATATGGCCACTTGTCTCATCCCCGCACCCCCCCTTTAAGCTCGGCACTCAATGAAATTGACGGTTGTCGGCCGACGCTTTTCTGTACAGAACTAAACGGCCCGACATGCGCGCAATGGATCGTTTTTAATGACGAGACATTCAAGCTGGCTTTGACAATCAGCAGATGCCGGCATGCCGTTTAGCACCCGCATGGAGCGAAGTTTGATTCGTCGGCTGAAAGTCGTATGACCGTTGTTGTATGGCGGTAGTAGTAGTTTTAAATTTCTTAATTTGGATGATATAATGCATAAATAAAAGACAGAGCTGGTAGTAAATAAGCCATAAGCTTGTGCATTTGTGGATGTTTATAGCAGGGTAGAAATGACACAATACTAACCTTTTATCAACACAATTTTTTGCGATGATTTCCGCAAACTGAACAATCACTTTCCCATTGGCAGCTATGGCTTTTGAAAGTTTGCATAAATCTTCTTTACCCTTGGGAAGTAAAAAAAAATACAAATTCTAAAATTTAATTTATCTTCCAAGTTTTTGCTGTAACATTTCAAGACAGAGTGACATATATTTTGGTGTGGTCCTTATTTGTCCATGTATTTTGTGCACTGTAATGTCTCAGGAAACAAATTTGATGTACTTTATACGACAGACAATAAATGGAATCTTGATCTCTCTTTTTATTATGTGATATAAAATTAATAACATACCTCCACAGACGTCTTTCTTTTAGCCAGCTGCGCTAGTTGATACATTTGTTTGGACATTGTCTTGGCAACTTGGACAATGGCATTGTTGTCCTCTTCCCATCTGTCTGCCTCTTGCTGGAGTTCCAAAGCTGCAGCCTAAGACATAAGAAGTGATTCTAGTTCAGGTTTAGAAGGTTGAATAGCATCTTCCATAGGTGAAGAAAACTATTCACATATCTCAATAAGGTGACACTATGGGCAGATCCAGAGAAAAATCTTGATAGGGAAAATGCAACGTGTGAAGCACCTAGCAGGTGGGGGAAAGATTTTGAGATTTTTTGTTTAGAAATACTTGACCATAGACACTGTGGAATATGGAAACTAAATCGAAAATTAGATTGTTTTGCAATACCATGCTCCCCTCTTTCTCCTATCTTTTCTTCTATCCCTTTTTTATTTTTAGGGGGTGGGAAGAGCTGGGCCTGCATGCACCCCCTACCCCCACCCTCCCTCAAATCCGCTCCTGGACATTAATCATTATTTTAGGATATGGCATCATTCCAAGAAAAGTTAAGAGACCCTAAATCATGGCATAGGTAAGTCAAAAACTTAAATGATAAGCAAATCCAAATTATATCTTCCTTAAGTCTAGTTAGAAATGATGACATTTAAATTCATAGGTCAAATCAGAAACCCTAAACAACAACAAGATCATCATTTATATTAAAAAACATCAGTTTGGCACCATCAATATCTTAATAAATGCTATCTCTAAGGTAATGCAAGTAATTGGGTGTTTACGCTTTAAGAGGTATGAAAAACATTTCACATCCTAAATATAATGAGGGAGATAGGATATGCTGCTGCCTTGAAGTTATTTCACATATAAATATTTACATAATTATGACTAGAACACTTTGTCTGATGCTTCCAAGAAAAGACAGACTGTCGCATAGGATACAATAATTAAACCCAACCCCCCCCCCACAAAAAAAAATCATAACAGAAATATGTTATGTAAGGGCGTACACAGTACAACTCAGCATGTGCTCAACACTTCTTCACAACACTCTCGGTCTTCAATTTCTTATTAGAAGAAACAGCTCTAATTAATTGATTGCTATCAAGTTCACATTTTGCATGAGTATGGCAAATTTCATTAACATGATATTAATAATCAAACTTAATATCATTAGATGTATAATTTACTAGATTTTTGTATGTGATTATCATGAAAATTCATGGCAAATGTTACAATATTTTTATTACAAGAAACATTTATAATTAAAGGATTGCTATCAAGTTCGAATTTTCGATGAATGTGACAAAATGTATGAAGATAATATAATCTAATATAAACATTTTTAAATCTTTTGATAAATAATTCGATTGAATTTTAAAAGTATTAATTATGCAAATACAATGAATATGTCTATTTAATCTTATGAATATTAACGAGATACACATTTACAACCCCCTAAGAATTTATACATTACCATGAAACACAGAAGGAAATGGAATTAGAAGCATCAAGGTTAAGGTGATGTTTAGTCATGTGAAAGCTATGAAATCAATGTTTGATTTTGTATGTAATAATTATGCACCATGAATATTTATCATTAACCTTATGAATATTAATGAGGGAATACACATACAGTATGTAGAATGCTTAAGATTTTATAAATTAACATAAAACGCAGAAGAAATAGAAATCTCACAGTTAAGGTGATGTTCAGTCATGTGACAGCTATAAAATTAATGTTTGATTTCGTATGTAATTATTATGCAAACTCATGAATATTTATCATTAACCTTATGAATATTAATGAGGGGATACACATACTTGCAATGCTCTGAGATTTCATACATTAACATGAAACACAGAAGGAAGTAGAATTAGAAGCATCAAGGTTAAGGTGATGTTTAGTCATGTGACAGTTATAAAATCACGCAATACAGGCCCTTAAGGAGTTAAGGAAAAAATGAAAGCCGCGACGTCGATAAAGCAAGATACCGCATCCACGGGATATGACTAACTACTTGAATGACAATTTTAACGTAAGCTTCTTTTCTATTCCCTAACATTTAACAGTGCCTTAGTGTGAAGATGAAGGCTGTGATTAATTGAATTGTTCAATACTGTGGAATATAGAGATGTAAACTTAACTATCAAATCTAATAAAATTATAACTGGAACTAATATATATCAAATGAAATCATTGTCAATTAAATATGTACTGTCTCCATTGAGCTAAATAATTGAAGTATAAAATTCAATTCTTTTATTGCTTACTATGTTTCCTCATCATTAAACAGACACATAAATTTCTAAGCATAGACACTTAAATTATTGACAGACCCAATCTGTGCATAATTAACATATGATTGTATTATTAAAAAAGTAATTTAGTATTTGAATTGTGTTTTGTATTTTTTACATCTTTAGCATTTCAAGACAAAATGTATCTAATTGGGCTTAGAGGCCAAGACTTTAAACACACAATGTAAAATAAATTTCTGATTTTTTGGACAATAAAAGTATTGCGTATCTTGTATCTTAAAACTTTCATGACCAAATTATTAATGAGTTTCCTGCTGATAATCTTTAAATTTGAATCCAATTTTTCAACTATAATTTTTAGATGCACTAACAGCACTAGTTCTCGATGAATTACACTGAAGAGAGATCATTCATGAATATGCTTTTATCATTAAAATTTTAATAATAATAATAATAATAATAATAATAATAATAACAATAATAATAATAATAATAATAATAATAATAACAATAACAATAATAATAATAATAATAATAATAATAATAATAATAGTAATAATAATAATAATTTGTTTTGCCCCAGCATAAATCTGAAAAGATGCTTTGGCACATTGACACAACAGTGCACTTAAAAAGCTCAAACTAATCTACCCAAAACATGGATTTTTCACTAAATTTTAAAAAGATTCCCTATCAGTGGTACAGATGATATAAATTAATGAAGAGGTTTCTGTCCTAAATATTGAAAAAAAAAAACAAGCAATTTATTTCAGAAATAAATATACACTGACACATGTTGCTTATCCATGTTATGACCAGACAAAAGGAGTCATAGATACTTACGGCAATAGGGTTATTGAAGAATGAGGTCGGAGTTGAAGCTGTATGATGACTGCTCAGGTTGTGGGACACATTCTGTAGATCTGGGCTGCTGGAAGCATGTTGTAGTAATGGTTCTGATGCATCTTCACTGTTGGACAATAAATTAATAAAACTAATAATAATTTTGGTATTTATATAGTACATTATTTCTTTGTGTACTCCACATTTATAAAACAAATACCGGTATGCAAAAAAAAAAAAACAAAAAAACAAAAAAACCCATTATCAGCTGACAATATCCCTTTGTTAAGCAGTGTTTCACCAGCTAAAGATTGTTTTGTCTTGAAATGAAAGTGCTTTATAAATCATAAATATTATTATTAATTATTAACAGTTGGTGATTACGGTTTTTAAAATGGAAATTATGGGCAAACGTGACAGGCTGTGATTGCCTTGGAGGCTGTGCGCAGATTTTTAAACTATAAAAAAATTGGCCACGGCAGTTACGGTGTGGATGAGAAACCTAGTAGGTCGTAGGAAAAGGGGGTGGACGCAACAAAACGTGACAGCACGTAATAGGCCGTAACAAAACTTGGAGGCAGTCCGTAGTGGGA